ATATTAAAATATAAAGGTTAAAATTGTAATAGTTAATATTGTAAAAATTGGCTAAAAGCGAGATCTAAATTTCTAAGCAAAAAGGCATAAAGGCAATAATTATGTGTGTGGTGTTTCTTTTTCATTCAGAATGATAATTATATATCCCCCCTAAAAATTTTCAAAACCATAAAAAAAATTGAGAAAAAAGAAAATTATTTTCAAATTTCAATTCTGAGGGTGTCATTACTAGCTATGTAGCGGTGCCATCATCGTAAATTTTCTTATTTTGAGCCCCAACCTTGGTAGGGCTGAGGTGGTATAGACCCTCCATCTGTCCTGGGCCCCTATTTCTAATTCCTGTATCCTCTACTGCATTATTTAATTTCGCTTTACTTTTATGTCATATACATTAATTAGTTTTCATGTGTACTGACATTGATTATCATTTTGTAGGTAGAGATTATGTGTCTGGTGGACAAACACCACTACATTGCTGTCTATGTGCTCAGGGTACTTATGATGAACAGCGAGAAACAGCATTGTGCTTGATAACATATGGAGCCTCTGTCTACCAAAAAGATAGTGTAATGTATAGAAAAAAGAAATGATTCAGAAGGATTAGTCAATGTCTTTATTACAATAACACAAACATTCCTATAACCAAAACCAACCTAATATATAAGAGCATTGATTCCATTCTGGACAAATGATTTTAATTAATTATTTTTGAACCGATATATGATATAAATATTGTGTTACTGATAGTGTTGGTTATTCCTTTGAATTATTATTTTCACCATTATCATTTATAAATCTTCAAAGCTAAAATGTTTCCCTTTCTTGTGCTGATGGAGTTTGCAACTGCCATCCAGTGAAATATATTATAATTTTTCATATGATCTTGTTATTACAGAAAGGGTATACACCTCTTGATTATTATGATCATAATGAATGTAGTCAATACAAAGTATCAGCAAAGGAGGAAAAGAAAGATGAACTTAAAAAGTTGCTTATAGGTAAGTTATCTGTTGTAGTTAAACATTCCTGAACCTCATTGGTAAAAATCACAGAGCTTGCTTTATTTGGAAGAACCATGTCATAAGCCTCAGCTATGTAGCTTTCTAAGCATGGCTATACAGTACCTTAAGTACTAATAGCTGGTTGGGTGCCACCTCAGTGGAGGTCTTGTGGGTCCTGACCCCAGCCCCTTTTTTAGGATGCCTTATTAAAGTGAAAGAAATAAGGTAAATATTTAATTAGTCAATCATATCTGCTTTATTGTCAATTTAAACTAATTTTAACCAAGTGTTTCATAAGATGAAAATAAAACATACCTGTGTAACAATATATATTTTTATTAATAATGAAAAGCTCAATATTTTAAACTGTATTTTACTATGTTTTTATGGTTGAATTCAAGCAATGGCACAACAGCATATTTTAAATGTTCAGAAACAATTGCTCCTACAAAATGCTGGAAATACCACCTTGTAAGATTTCTGATGTTTTGGACTCCGCCCCTGCCCCCTTGTTAATATCTCTGGATCTCCCATGTATATCCCATTGCAAGTGTACACTGCCCACAAACCTTGTCTCTGTAAGAAACAGTAAAAACAAAGTTACACCTATTACATGCGCTCGATGGATGCGATACATGCAAATAGGCTTTTTTGCATGGATGTGCTATACAAGTCCAACTATTTATTTTTACAGCATTACAGTTATTTCGGTAGTCTGGCTGTAGCATAGACCTAGTTGAAACATTGATCAAATTATCTGCATTCTACACAACAACGATGAATCAAAAGTACAAAAATAGAAAAGTAAAGTAAACAAAAAAATCAACTTTAAAATAACATTTTGAAAATTTGAGGCAAAACATGCTAATAAATTAAAAAGGTTAAAAATTCTCAATCATTGTTTCCTTAGGTTGGATTCTTACCTGAGTCAAAGGGCAAAAATCAATCCTATGATATGCATATCGTTCATAGGAATAATACTGTATACACATGTAATAGAAAATACTATACATTTGTACTCTTATATTTCAGTTCCTGTATTATTCTTATAACTTTTTATTAATAATGTTATTTTCTGTTTGACCTGTTTATGCTCTAGAAGTAGTTAAGTTTCTCAGTGTTTTAACACCTTGATATAAAATTACATATTTTGATGTGTTATTTTCAGAAATCAGTTAGTACTGTGATGGTAATTTTTTTTAAAACAAAATAGTCACAGTATGTTTAATGTAAACTATAAAATGGATGGAAGAAATACGGAGCGTAAGAATACTACTGTAGTATACTAAATTGTTGTCTTTTATATTTTTATTATTCAAAGTTATTGGCACCTTTCTATACAACATTCACTATATGAAAGATGATTTATGTAGTGTATAAATATAAGGTTATTACTACATAATAGATGTACTACAAAACATGAAATTCCAGCAAATAGAAAAAGAAAATGACCATGTTTGCATGATTGCCTACATTTTTCAGTAAGTCAGGAAGCTACTCAGTGTTTAGTTTGTACATTGGAATATATTACGAGTTCAACAATAATTAAATTTTGGCGCGTGTTAAAAAATTTTTAATTTTGCACCCCCTTCTTATACAGTATGCATGTTTAAATTTTGTAGAAATTCATTGCAGTGCATGGTTATTCATAAAGAAGGTCTTGATTTTTAATATTATTTTTTAACTGGGAGCTGACATCCCCTCCCCCTCCCAGACCCACGCCCATCGAGTGTCGCTACATGATAAATACTGGTACTTCACATTTGGTTTTGACTTCCTAAATTTAAATTTTGGCTAAACCACAGTGCCAGAGATACTTTGTCATACAACTGAAAAAGAAACTTGTTGATGAGCTTTACCAATACGATTATTTCAACATGTTCTTATTTGAGCACTGTCATTATTATTTCATATTTGTTTACATTGTTTACGGTTCTACGCAGCAACTTCATTTGAATTTTATCTACTAGGTTTTCTCAGCTGCATCCTATAAGCTTTTCTAGCTTCGCCACAGCTCCCAGGAAGTTTAGATAGAACTGCAAGATATCCCATAGGTCTCTGATTTTCTTGAATACAACTGAAATGAAGGAACTTGTTGTTGTGTTTGATGCAATTATTACAACTTCCTATATATATATATATATATATATAATATAAATCATCAAAGGTACATATACAGTGTTTTAATAAGGACATGATGGAACATCGTAGGCTACCCTGTAGCTTTTCAACGAATAAAGTCCTATGAAAAATCATTGTGTAATAAAATGCCTCTGACGGGATTCGAACCTGCGACCTCTCGCTAACAAGGCCAGTGTCATAACCACTAGACCACGAAAGCTTCATGGTTGAACAGGTCCAAATACCCGTCGGGTACATTGTATTACACAAAGCTATGCCTCAAGAGGCCGTATATATATATATATACTTCTTAAAGTCATGTATCATGCATAGGAATGTTGACGCCTGCAAGGCTCTGGTTATTATTATTATTACTATTTTTAATATTATGTTTCTATAGTTTTCTGTTCTAATCTTTTGTACATTGTTACTATTCCATGTAAAGAGGTTCCCACTTTGTGTTGGGCCCTTGGCCCATGGTTCCCTCTTGACTTTATTGTCGAATTTGTAATAAATAAATAAATAAATACTTTTTAGAAGCAACTAAAAGCCCTGCTGTTTGAGCGCCATTGAACATATAATATGGTTACTTGGCGCTATACAAGTTTTGTGATTGATTGATTGAATACGTCGGGTATTTAACTAAAGAAAAATGCACACATAATATACCTAAAGCATATAATAATGTATTTGTATTAATATTAACTTTTCAGCTAAGACGGGCCATGCTGTTTCTTCCCCTGAGCATGTCTTAATTCAAGGTAATTTGAGATTCTTCATGCCACCACCATTATTGTTTCTTCACTCACCTTATAAATCTGTTAGGAAAACTAGTAAATGTATGCTTACATTGTTTTCAATGAGTCTACACACTGAACATTCACACTCACACACTCATTCACACTGTATATTCTTTGTGTTTTATGTATTATTATTTGTTAGCAAACACATTACTATGAATTGAATTAACAGTATAAATCTGTTAGGAAAAATAGTAAATGTATGCTTACATTGTTTTCAGTGAGTCTACACACTTCACACTCACACACTCATTCATACTCTATATTCTTTGTACTTTATGTGTTATTAATTGTTAGCAAGCACATGATTTATGAATTGAATTAACAGTATAATGCTAATAATGCTGTCCTAATTCAACCATGGAGGAAATATATTACCTCCATGGTTGAAGGTAGATTGAGCTCTTAATTCCAATACAGTACTCAATTATGTTAATAGACGTAGGCCTAAAAGTATTTTACTTAACTATCACATGCTTCTGTTGATACACTAAACACAGTTGGTTACTCTGTTTACATTTTGGAAAAATCGATTTGGATTGTCAACACAAAAAAGGCCTATTATAATACATTGCATTATGTTGGTTGTTTTGCCGTAGGGTAGGGTGGGCATAAAAATTGGTCAGAGGGCCAAAATAAACTTTTGATTTAACACCGAGGGCCACACCCAAATTTTGATTTTATTTATTTCAACTTTATTTCACGAGGGTAGCTCTAACAGCTGCACTACATTAGTACAGCTGACTTGAAGAGGCCCTCGAAAGAAAAACAATACATAAAAATATGTACAATACATTAAGAATCCAAGTAAGTAAAAGCTTCATTACGGTAAAGTTCAAAAACTATATAATAAATAAAATATTGAATAAATATTTTAACATTCATTAAAAATACAATAAACTTTAAAATTCATTATAAAATTACAAGGTGATGGTTAAAATCAGAATTTTATTGCTTTTCTCTGAGATATAATTTTAACTTGGTTTTAAAATTAGAATAAAATTGATGGTTTCAGTGTGCTTCCAAAACCTTCATGTACTGCTTTATACCACCTTATTCTCAGTTTTAATATCACTTTGTACTTTGATCGATGTTGAGCCGTAAAGAGCAAGGTGTTTTCTAGCCAATGAGGGTTGGCGGGCTGCACATAGGGTATTTAATTTGTTTTCGCGGACCGCATAAAAAAAAGCCATTGTCGGGCCGCATACGGCCCACTGGCCACAATTTGCCCGCCTGTGCCATAGGGGAACTCTCTTATGAAAGTGAGTACACTTTGTGGCAATAATAGTAATGCTTGCTATCCATACACAATTCTACATCTACAAAATTATATAATATGATAAAGATATTGATTTGTTGAATTTTTATTTGGTCCAAACGAATGACAGATTGTAATAAATTAACATTACATAGAACATTCTAGAATAACATTTAATTGATCAAAGAAACAGTGTAAACCACATTGGTAATTTTAGGAACACATGACACCATGTAGAATCCAAGAGTAAATGGAAGCTTCTGGAATCTTGGGTACTATAGAGGCAAATAAAGCCTAATTGGTTAATTATGATGTAAGGGAGCCAATGAGGAACTTAGGCAATATAGAATGCTCTTGAATTGTACAGCTAGGGTATATAAGCTGATAGTTTTATCTTTCTGGAGCTCTTTTTGAAACACATGTTTATGTGAATGTTGTGTTATTCTGATACTATTTTTGGAAAACGTTCGGAGACGTGATCGAGTACGGACGTGTTCATGCGAGCTCTCTAGGCCACCTTGTTAGTGAAATTATTGATTGTACTTGCTTGAGAAGATCTGTTGCACCCGGCATTGTGTGTTCAAGGGAAACACCTCGAGTCCTACCTACAGTATTTTACTTGTTTGCTGACTCGCCAATCCTAATCGCTATTATTGTTTCTTACCCTAACTCGGATACGTGTGATTTTTGATTCGCATTTTGATGTTAATACCGTGATTTTTTTTTTTATTCTTGCTAATTTAAGCCATGTCTTTGACGAGGGTTAGCGGTAATTTTACTTTCGATTGTCGTTTATTTGTTACTTTTGCTTTAATCCTGTTTTATGGTCATGGCATGTCAACTCATATATGTGACCAGAATGTTCGAAATAATTACATATCAGTTCATTTCGAGGAATTGTGGCCAGTTTTTCAGCCTGGAAATCATATCTTTTTTCCCGCCATGGCGCCTCATTACATTGGAATTCCAAAGCCACACCTGTCGTTACGTAACAGCTTTGTTTATACTACTGCAGCTGAATTTATGTTTCCTAATATTTATGTTCCTTACTTACGTTGTGGATCCAAGGTAAGGCGCAAGTTTTCTAAAGCACCGACACTTTATTATTCAGCATCGTCAGCTATGTTTAACATCTTACTCAGTTCGGGGGACATACATCCTAATCCTGGCCC